ATGGACTCGAAAGACAAAAGGATTTTAATGGTCGCGACAACTTTGTAAAAAAAATTATGGCCACCTTCTCGTTATTTGCCGCTTGCTCATCTTCTTGAGCTCGCATGCTGACTCGATCGGTTCTTCCTGCTCTCTCCTTCTCTTCCCTGGCTCTCTTCATTTCCGGAAATGCTCGCTCGAATATTTCCCTGTTGCGAAGATCGCGAGCTCTATAGAAAAGAAAAATAAGATTCAATAGACAGTTCGCTCTCACATGCAATAAAAGCACCACTCACATTTTCTTTGGACTGTTTGCCCACCGCTCCGTTTTCCGCATAAAATCCCGCATGCAAGACTTGTAAAACTCATCATTGTACCTGTAACATACAAAGTTATCCAAGTAGTAAAGGAAGTCAAAACCCGACGAAACAGTTTGCTCCTTACTTGTAACATGTTACTTTCACCCGCTGCCTATGTTCAACCATTTGTCGGAGTTTTGGTCCGAAGGTCTGAAAAAAAAAGATAAGTTACGCCAAAAACGGTTTCGAAACCATACCTTTTGCTTTTGCATTAGTTGACTCACGCCGGGTGCATCGTAAGGTTCATAAAACAGCTGAATTTACGACCTTCGAGTTTTTAAAACAGGTTAAAAAATTTCGAACACTTACAACTTCCTCTGCAGGTCTTTTTTGATTTAATCGATTTTTCACGGTAGTTCGTTTTTTATTTTCAGCAATTATCCTTTGCCAAAGAGGGGCATTTTCCCGTTCATCAGGCTAAATGCGAGCTTCAAAGTCTAAGAAGAGATTGCAAAGAACAAAATCAACCTCGACAATCGGCACTTCCTTCACTTCTTGCTCGGACTCCTTTTTGATATTCTGAATAATTCAAAATTAGGATGCCTCAAACCCTACACGCGCTATACCTTCAATCGTTCTCTCCTCTTAATGAGCGTTTCAACTTGCTGGTCAGCTTGTTTTCGATCTTTTTCTATTGCTTCAAGGCGGTCTGAGGTCGCTTTCTTTTCCGCCTGCTGAAAAGTGCATCACGGTAGGGAGCGAAGAATATAAAGGGATTTCATCAGCATGAACTCAGTAAAATGTCAGGAGCACTATTATTTCACAGATTGGTCCCTACATAAACAAACTTCAAGATGCACTCCATTCACCTCTTCTGTCTCTTTTTCGGATATAGTTCCACCAGGAGACGGGTCGATCTTTATCCCAGAGAAACC